AGCAAACTTCAAAAGAAGCCCTATGACTCCAAGGGTTACACACACACACACCTTCTCCCTCCCCTCCTCCTCATCCTCGTCCATCACATCATCACTTATACTGCACGTCTCAGCATAACCGCCTCACACTTCCTTCTTGACTTTTCATCTCACTACTCTGTCTCCCAAGTCATGTTCATATACAGTTGAAATGTGTAAAACTTATCATGTGGGGTTATCCGGTCCTTTTATTAGTTTTTTTAGTTTTTCTATTAAAGGCCGCAAAACTAAAAAAACTGAAGATTTATGTTGTTTTAGTTTTGTTTGTTTCTTTTTTAAGGCCGCAAAACTAAAAAACTAAAAAACATAAATCCTTCAGGTTTCGAGGTTTCCAGGTATTTAGAAATTCAAAAAAGAACTAAAAATCTAAAAAAACTAATTATTTAGTTTTGTTTAGGTTCTTTTTTGTTTGGCCGCTAAAACTAAAAAGACTAAAAAAACCTAAATCCTTCAGGTTTCGAGGTTTCCAGGTATTTAGAAATTCAAAAAAAACTAAAAAAACTAAATATTTAGTTTTTTTAGTTTTTCTTTTTTTTTAAGGCCGCAAAACTAAATTTAGTTTTTTTAGTTTTTTTAGAATTTCTAAATACCTGGAAACCTCGAAACCTGAAGGATTTTGTGTTTTTAGTTTTTTTAGTTGTTTTCTTTAAAGGTCGCAAAACTAAAAAAACTGAATATTTAGTTTTTTTAGTTCTTTTTTTTAATAGGCCGCAAAACAAAAAAAGCCAAATATTTGGTGGTTTTAGTGTTTCCGTTTCTTTAAATGCAGCAAAACAAACTAAACTAAATATTTAGATTGTATTTTTTTAAGGCCACAAAACTAAAAAAAACTAAATATTTAGTTGTGTTTAGTTTTTTTGTGTTTTTTTGAATGTCTAAATACCTGGAAACCTTGAAACCTGAAGGATTTCTTTGTTTCCATTTTTTTTTGTAAGACCGCAAAACAAAAAAGCATATGTAGTTGTTTCATGTTTATTTTTTAGTAGGTCTCAAAATTGAATATAGAAAAACAAAATAATTGGTTTTTGTTTGATATAATTTGTTTTATATAACTTGAAGTTTCCTTTTATATATAGTATGATAATATAATAGAAAAAATAGTACGTTACATTATACATGGAGGTCCCTCGTACATATATATATAATATGGTCAAGCTTCCCTAAAAATCTAGGAACCAATCATTAGTGCGAGCATTTCGTCAAGGAAGCTCCCCCCCGCCTTCAGGCGGGGGGAGCTTCTTTGAAGAAGCGTGAGCTATCCTGAGTCCTGTCGGTAGTAGCGTCCTACTTAAATAGCTACTAGCGACTCCCGTTTGCTACTACTAGCTACCTCTAGCTACTACCTCACCTCTACGGCCCACCCCACCCCCGTTTAAAAAACATGTAATAATAATATTCATAATCAATAATAATAATAATGATGATAGTAATAGTATATATATATATATATTATATATTATATATATATATATAATATATATAATAATAATAGCAATAATGTATATATATATGCAAATCGTCACAAATCATCCATCAGAGACCGGCAACCATGCCAGCTTGCTTTACTGTCTCACTTAGACCCTGTGCCCCGTGGCTATTTTAGGCCCACCACACCGCTGTGGTCCTTAGGGTGTCCAAACGTTGTTTTTTTGTGTCTTTTCAGTTCTTAGTTCTTAAGCCTTCCTTCCACAAACTGGCAGTCAAAACAAAGTGCAGCATTTATAGACAACGGCTATCTCAAGTTTAAGCGGAGTCACAACAAAGCAATCTCGTCCAAGTAAAGTAGATAAAATATGCCAATATGCGTGTCCAGCATCTGCTTCCGGCATTTTGCCGGACTGCTGGTGAATGTCAGATGAGTCCAATGAGTCCACTCAAAACAGAATGATCCTGCAGCATTGTCATTCCCAAACAGCCGTATAAATTGAAAGTATGAATTTCAAGTAGGCTATTCAATGGGAAGTGTTCTGGGCATCTACCTTACTGCTCAGCATCTTAGTTCAAAGGGCTCTGATTGGACAGCGCACAACATGCGATGATTCTGGCTAGCACTAGAGCTGTATCTCAAGGAAAAACACGATGTGTGGACCAGTGCCGTGGGCAGAAACATTCACAGCCATCGATAAAATCAGAACTCGCAGAGACTTGCAAAGAGTTGCAAACAGGTTGCTATCCAGCGAACGGACAAAGGTGTAGTAGTGACCACTGCTAACACCACCACTGTGCACGATGACCTCAGCATCCGCTCGCTTCGTTCCTAAGACTGGAATTATCTGCAACAGGGCCCTGACAGTGTGCAGCATGTACTGGCCACTGCCTTTGGCAAAATCCTGACCAGGGATTGCTGTAGACTGAATGCAGCGGACTGGTTTCACTATGACATAGCCTAATTCAGAGGCTTTCAAGACTTGCAAAGAAAAAGGCACCACCTGGGAGATGGAATCTCGCCAAGTCAAGAATGATAGCTCTACCTCCTGACAACTTCTGCCTCCAGGTCCAAGATTTGTGGAAACTCCATCTTGCTATTCAGCTTGTTCCTGATGGGGAACCAAGCCGTCAGTGTCTCTTCGATTCTTCACTCGACTCTAGCCACTGCTCACAGACGGGTGGGGCACATATCCATCTTCTCTATGTCGAACATGAAACGCTTCCTTGGCAGCGTGCTTGATATCTACGTGATGGAGAACAATAATTTCCATTTACAGCTGTTTCACATCTTTTGTCGTGTCCAAGGCAAAGCGCAGCTGGATGTACAGAACTGGCGGAAAGCGCTTGAACCGGATGCCCTACACATGCGGTCAGAATCGAAGGTGCGTAGCAAGCAAGCACTGAAGAGAGATTGCCAGCCTTCCGAGCTCTTTGCTTGCCATGTGATTCTGCATCATAGGCATTGTCACCCTTGACAGGTGTGCACAATCTGGCACCAACCACCGACCAAATAACCCATGCCGGAGTTTGCATTTAAGGATTCTTGATTCACCTTTTGACAACCGATGGGTTTGACCACTTTTTGGAGGAATCTACAGTACCAAATTTGAAAGAATGGATCATACATAATGGTTCAACTGTTGTTCCCCTATCTTCTCCTCCAGAATCTCCTCTCGCACAAAATCCTTCAGAGACTCCTCGAAGACAACATGTTGCATGGCATGCATGGTGCAAATCAGCAAGCTGCGAGATCGTATCCGCCTCCAGTTTCTTGATACTGGTTTCAACCAAGTGTCAAAACTAGGTGCTAAAGGCACCTAAGCAAAATAGAATTATATAAACATGATCGGATTCCTCTAAAGAAGTGATCTCTTTGCCAGACTCGTCTTTAACGTTCAACTGCAAGTCATAAAACCTCAGTAACTTGATAAAGTGTCCAAGCCATTCAACTGTTGGACAAAGCAAACGCTCTTTCCTTTTCATCCCGATAAGATGCCGTTTCGCACCACGTTCAGGTCAGGGCGTCTCGTTGCGTTGTGAACGATAATCAACATCAATGCCTTGATTCCGAAAAACAACTGCGCCATTGACACAAACTCGGAGCCCTTGGGACTTCGCATTCGATGTAATTCTCAAATTCACCCTCGAAGAGCCTGCAGAAAGGTCTCCAAGGAGTGACAATATTCATGAATCCGACACATGGTATCTGGCCAAAATTCCTTAAGGACTCCAGCGGGGATGACCTGAGGCCCCAAAAGTGAAACCTTCGGCATCTGTCCAAAAAGGCGCTCTCCGGCAGGAAAGCCAAAACAGAAGTGGACTCAAGGACTGCATTGAAAACGCCACGGCTTTCTGGCCAAGTGAATGCACGCTTCCACGCCAGAGGTGTGCGTTCTGCCCCGACTAAAACAAGTTGAACAGAGGCCACACATTGCACTTGCATAGACCCAAATAGCACTTTAAACAAGAAGACTCACATGGGACTTTTATAACCGCCTAGCAAACCCCAAATACAAAGTAAGTACGGCTAGACTGCTAGGCCCCACAAGCAATGCAATGGCTCTGCTGTGTGACCAGGGAATCGCTCCACAAAAAGAGCTGCGATCAAGGCCTGGTTCCAGAGCACAGGCCACAGGGTTCCAGATGTCAGGCCTAAAGTTGTGATGGAAACTCAATGCCTTGTCCAAGAGAAGGCAGGAGCATTGGACCTAAAAATGTGTTTCACTGGTTTCACGTTTTTATCATTGAAATGTTCTGTTGAATATGGTGTCGGTTTCCGGTAGCTTTTGTGGCTTCTCGTGTCTTGTCGGCTTGGGTGGGTGGCTTGTCCTGGCTTCTGTTGGTGGCTCCTACCAACATTTAGTGAAACTTTGTGTGTGTGCTTTGGGGGGCACTGCGCCCTCCCTACCACGAAATCTGCTATGCATCTCCGATTTCCTTCCTGCCTCAAGAGTGACACCCCTGCACCAGTTCCCTTTCTTTTTCATTTCGTGTTGTCATCTCCCCCCTACCCTTCTCTGCAAAATACAACAGTTTTTGGGGGTCCATCTGCCACAGTCCAAGAAAAACAACATACGTCACATCCTTACAGGATTACACAATAAAACAAGCCCCACTTAACCTGGTTACCGCGAGAAAAGTACCAGTCAGCTAGCGTTTCGTACGAGACTTCCTCCGAAAGTGAGCCGTGCAAGTCTCCAAAGCAAGCGTTTCGGACGAGACTTCCTCCAAAAGTGAGTCGTGCAATGCTCCAAAACGAGCGTTTCGCACGAGACTTCCTGCAAAAGTGAGCCACACAAGTCTTCCAAATGAGCGCTTAGGAGACTTCCTAGGGCTTCACTTCTTTAGGGTCTCTTTTGGTTTTGCTTCGGGCTTCACTCCTTTAGGGTTTCTTTGGTCTTGGCTTAGGGCTTCATTTCTTTAGGATGTCTTTGGGGTAGCGATGCCAGGGGTTAGCGATGCCAGGAGCCCCTAGTAGCGTCCTTGCTCCTAGTAGCAAAGCGAGCAGGAGGCGCTCCCAGCTTAGTCTGTTGGTGAGACTGCACCAGCACGGTCTGAGTCTGTTGACATTCTCCAAACACGGTCATGGTTGGTCGCGGGCATCTGTAGATTTTTCGATGTGAGAGGAACAATGACAGATCAATCGATCGAATCGATCGATGCAAAGTTAGATCAAGAAACGATCTGCGGCTGTGGCACTGGAACTTGCCTTCGAAGAGCAAGGTGTTGCAACAAGCTATTCAGGAAACCTTACATTCCAAGCTTTGGCTTGGGTCTTCTGTGGATGAGGTCGAGTCTATCTTTAAAAAAGGACCTGGCACTTGGCAGGGCTTGACGACCGCCGACCCGCAACCGACCTTTGAACTGGCAGGGTTGCTCCGGGGCCCGGAGATGGGCAGCTTGGTCTTCGACAAATCTAAAGCAGCGATCTATTTGCTTTTCTCTTTTTCAGGCGGGAGGAGTAGGCCGCTAGGAGAGGTATCTAGCAAATAAGCTAACAAGTAAACTTAAGTCGTAGCCACTAGTAGGCTTGCGCCAATAGGCTTGGATACACTATCTGCTCAGGCTTGATTGCTTTGGTGCCTAGATTGGGGATATGTGCATTTCTTTAGACCTGAGACAAGCTGAGGGGAGGTGATGGAAGGTAAGGTGTAGAAGGTGTGGAGACCCTACCTCAGCCAAAAGTCGGAGTGGATTGCTGTAAAAAATCAAACAATATCCGACTCAAGGATAAGTTGATCCCCCTTGTTCATCCTTTTCGACTATCTTATATATATACAGTATATATATATATATATATGTTCTTGATATATCATATCTAGCTTGATAAACTGCGACGGCCGTTACATCGTTACATGGTAGCTGCTGTTCCACAAAGGCTGCTGGAATAGCTTTCATGATCGCATCCTTCAGCAGGCAAATATACTACTATCCCTTGCTACTAGGCTGACTAAAGGTCGCCATAGCAACAGCAGTAAACCATTCGGAATATGTCCACTATCTCTATTGGTAAACGGGACTGTAAGTATCATTCAAGCCATTGCGCTCCAGCACTGTGCACCTCTTGATTTCTCCATCAGTTGGAGTGCCCTTCATTTGCTCTTCGAGGCGATCACACAAGAGTCTGTTCAGCTCCTTGGAGCCGTCTGGCGCGGATGGCGGATGAGTCTTTTGTTTAATTAGGCCGGGGGGGTAGGCCGAGAGAGGTAAGAAGAGGTAGCTAGTAGAAGACAGGTAGCTACTGGCTTACTTAAGCTACTACCTAGGACGCAGGATAGCTTACATCAATTCGATGCTTGAAACAAAATCCAAGCAGTTTCAAGCTCCTGTGCGTCATGCTGCATGAAGGCATCGGCAGTATCCCACCCAAAAGATCGCATTAGCTCTCGACATGAGACAGGCACCTGGTCAGTCACAAGTACAAACAGCATATATATATATATATAAGCCCAGTCTAGCTTTGGCAATTTTGATATGAGGTTTGCGGTCTTGGTTTCTCAGGCCTCGCTGGTTTGCAGCCTGTAGAAAAGATTCTGCAGCGAGACCAGCAATGGAAGAGCCTTGGAAGGTTTTGATCAAAGCCTTGGGGGGTTCAACACAAACAGCAACTAAGCTAAAGCAACTATGAACAAGAAGCTACTATATAGTAGCTCCTGGCATCGCGACTAGGAGCAAGGACGCTACTAGCAGCTCCTGGCATTACTACTAGGAACAAGAAGCTACTAGTAGCACGGGTGCTGCCAACCCTCTCCACAGTTCTCTGTGTCCCGCCGGTCGGTCTTCATCGATGCCCAAGGAGTCCGAGACGTCGTCGCTAGAAACAATCTTGCCACGAAATAGAAACTATGGAAACTCGAAAGCATCACGAGACAATATCGGAAAAAGGGCGAAAAAAAAATGAAAACAAAAAAAATGTCTGATCAGCATCAGCCACTTTGCAAAGCCAGCCTGGCTCAGATCAGACTCAGGCACTTCAATGGAATAAGCAATGTGTCGAAAGTGGCCTTGGTGTCGCAAAATAGGATAAAACACAGCCTTCCAAGAGTCCATGTGCCAACGATAAATGAATACCCTTCAGTGACTTCAGCTTTGAGACGCAAACCCAAGCAGAATAAAGTCTGCAACAAGCAATTCCTGTCAGACGCTCAGCAAAGTCCAATGTTGAAATGCGAGGGCAAGCGGGCAAGAGGTCAGGTGATGAGCTGAGGCAGCAACATATAGCAGGTCGCCCCGTGATTCTTTAGACCAACATGGCCAACTGGCCTCCTGATGAAAACTACAGGCAGGCAGTCATCACAAAACCAAGCTACAAAAGAGTAGACCCGTTTTCTCTTCACAAAAGCTTCGCGCTCAAATTCTCAAAATGTCCGCTGTGTCAGAACTGTGCAATCGGTTCTCAAAATCACTATTATCATTATCCACCATGGACAAGTTCCTAGCAAAATGCCCAGCACCTTCCCCTTTGCCGCAAATCTCACCCCCCACCCCATCACGAACAAAATCTTAGTTTGCAGCAACTTCCACAACCCATGCTAGCCCGGCCCCAGCATATACCAGAACCGTACCACGATGCATGGCCCATCCGTCTCCAGCAGTAGCAGCGGCAGCTGTGAGAAAGTTCAAAACCAAATTCCATCGTTTACTCTCATACATGTAAGCACCGCTTTTTGTGATGAGACCTGCTGCCTTCCCTCACACGGACCAAGGCTTTCTAATGCTACCCGAAAGAACCATTGAGTTGTACGGTCTTCCAGCAAGCAAAACAGGAGAGCAACTTCTTTTTACATCATCGGTCACAAGATGTCTCCAACTTGTTTGTTCAATCAACCATGATCTCCACGGATTCTGGCTCCTTCCGGATGCTTGCATCATTGCACGCCGGCAGGAACAAGACTTAGTGTGGGTGCGACAGAATGTCAAACATCTACAAGGCTTTGACAGTACGCATGTCTCCAAGCAGCCCAGCGATTCTATATGACTATGCTACAATCTCTGGATTCTGTTTAAACAAGCAGCCCACTTGTACTGCCTACAGATGAAAGTCAAAGCCGCCAATCACAAGGGCCCCAAGCTGGACACCAATGGTTGAATGCAAACATATCCCATCTAAGACATCTAAAAAACCTGAACCTGGAGACTTCTTGGTGAATCATGCCAAGTCAGTGAGCAGTTTGCAAATAGTAAACCAGCCCCCAGCGACATTAAAGGGAGGTCACGGGCTGTGCCTGCTGAACGGCCGTGTGGTGGGATTGCAAATGCAGGTCCGAGTCGATCTGCAAACTCGACCATGACCATCCATGATCTAGTCTACCCAGTCTCTGCACTTCATCACACCATACCCCTCACTTGGTTTCCTCAGCTTCCTCAATCTTCAGTTATCAAATGGTTTTGCAGCAACCCTGCAACCCAGCGATTGTCTCTCTCTGCCCTGCTTAGCCCATGACTGCACGCAAACAAAGCTCGCCCTCATCATTGAGCCAACCACTCTCAGAGGTCATCTGGGAGGCCTCACGAAAGGGACGCGAGAACAAACCCGGACTATGCATTCAAGACATGCATTCAAAGCAGTGGAATCTCATCACATATTATCACAGCATACAGCCAATACAAATACTGCAATCCACGGGTTGCCTGCTTCGGGCCAAGTCGCAGGAGAAGTTTCAACATCTGGTTTGGTTGCTTACTTCGAAGCAACTTCTATATAAACAAATAATTCACACAGGCATACAGGCATACATCATGTCTTTAAAAACCAGATTGCAGTGACTGAGATCTCAGCAAACAAATTTTACCGTCAGACTTGCATGTAATCCACTTACTGCGCCTTGACAAATCCTTTGTGCCATCCTCGGTCTGAGTGGTCTCGACTAAAGCTCCAAGTGTCCTGCAAGGTTTCAAGAGGTCTTGTCCAAATCCATCAATGTTCAGCTGTGCTCAAGTAGGCTCGGCAAATAGTGAGTCTCCTGCTGCGTGGTTGATTTCCTGTAGTCCTTCCAATTCACCTGGATTTGAAGCCGTACAAGGTTACTACGTGTGAAATTTGCACATGGAGTCAATCTCTTGAAAGTTGCTTGTCAAAGCACTGGCAATGCCGCTGTTAAAGAATCATGACGTGATGTGAGAAGGCAATATCCAGAAACATTGTACGAACAATGCTCTCCATCACCTTGAACACAACAAAAGTGCCTGTCATGCCATGAGGCCATGCCCCTCACTTTGCAGTAACTCCAACTGACAGCTACGCAGCTACACGTCTTAAAGGTCATCAAGGTGCAGACCGCAGTGATTTGGTACCGCACACCTGGCAAGGCAGTGCAAAGCAGAAATACTCGCAAAATATGGCATCTTGGCCTAAACTCTATGGCATGGTTGATTGTGCTGTCCATGCCCTTGGCCTTCGAAATGCCATCGAATTTCATCACAACCAGGCGGCGGCACTGCCTCGAATTAGACTTTGGGCTGATGAGTTTCAGCTACTTCGTGGCTCATATTCCGATGCATGGCCTCAACAAAGGCTGCTAGCTGGGGCGGTGGGGATGTGACCTCCGTTCCCATGGGAAAGACCTAGGCAGAAGTTCAGTGAACAAGAACATGAGCAGCAAATGTCTACTGGCCTTCCAGGATAAGGATCTAAAAGTCAACAGTTGCCAATAGACTTAATAAGGAAATACAAAAATGCATCTTGCAACAAGACCTAAGAGCATTCAATTGAGCAAAGGATTCACTTGGCTGTGGGTCAAAACCGGGATACCTTGGTAACACGACTTGCGGACACGCTCCACGCGCAACCCTAAACATCTCTTGGTATACAGTGACACCGGGTATGAAGGGTGTGAGAGTTCGATGGTATCAAAAAGGGAAATGAAGGTGAACCTGGCTGTACAGCGTCACCACACCACACCATTGAAATAGTTGGACTCCCAATGCGACTAGCAGTTAAGACTGAACTAAGCACTCGAAGTCGGAACAAAGACAAGACGTGACTCAAATCTCTTTGGTTGTGCAAGATCCGAAGTTATAAATTAGGCATCTAAGTTCCGAATGGATCACAGATAGTATCAAATGATATATTTTTCCTCTTAGCGTTCCAAACCTTCCATTCTAGTTTGTAACGTTGTTGGAATTGTATCTCCGAATATGATGCAATAACGATATCTGGTGTTGTGTTGTGTAATGAGAACGGTGCATCGGTATGGTATGATGGATTCTGGTGTGATTCAGATTGGTACGAAACAATGGCTTGCATGGTTTCCTTTGCTTTCAGAACTATTGGTCGATATGGCATACATCCGCAGATTTGTCGCTTGAATCCAAGTCGCTCGAGACTTTTTGCATCCTGTAATTTGTATTTAGGAATCAAGCAAATCTTGGCAAAATGTTCTATGTGTCGCAAGATCAAACGAAATGCTTCGGCCTGAAGTTTAAGTGATCTTTTATGGCTTGGTAGGACCTGGATGCGTTGATCTGTCGGGTCGAGTGCTTCAATATTCCATCTGGTATGTGAAATCCAGATTGGCAGACGGATGCCTGTAGTAAGCATAAAGCTTACGGCTAGCTCTGTCCAAGTGATACCTGGGTCACATGCTTCTGGTGTATGTTCTATGGGGGGCCAACGAATTGACTGTGCAAAGGCCCAAATTGCATGTGCGATTCGATGTTCCCAAATACAGGATTTGAGTACCATTGGGTGGACCTGACCTTGGATACTTTCAGTACAATACATTGATGACCAAGTTGACATAGTGTCTACGAAGGTACCGTAGAGCGGTGGTGACTGGCCACCCTCTTTGTTTTTGATCTTCTTGTTTGTTTCACGTAATTGCACTATAAATTTATTGAGATCGATCAAATACTGCCATATTGCAAGTGTGGATTGCTTTTCATGGGTATAGAAGGTTTCGGCTGATTGGATTAAGGTATCAAAGTCGGACGAATCTTGTAACCGGCAGGCAACTGCTGCTTTGTCTGCCAAGGTATTACCTTGTATGTCCAGTAGTTCTTGATAGTTAGTAGTAGTGTCTTGTAGTTGTTGGTGTGATTTCACTTTATGCATCTGAAATTTGTTAGGCTGCCATGCCTGTATTATTCGATTAAGTAAGCTCTGTTTTGATCAGCTTTGGTAAGTATACCATAGTCAATGTCTAAGATGGAGTCGTAGACATATTGGCTATCCGTATAGATGTGAAACTTAGCAGATGGATAATGCTCAGCCATGATGATGACAATCCACGCGACGGCCCACAATTCGGCTCGTGATATGGTCTGTTCTCCTTGTGTATGTGCCGTGGCGGCGGTCACAAAAGCGTTTGGTCCTGGTTCTGCTCCATAGGGTTGGTTAAAAACCACGACTGCCCATGCTGAACGGCGTGTATGCGATTTTGTCGGATCTGAACATAAACCATCTGTAAAGATGTGTAGTTCAGTCATCGGTTGAATATTTTAAGTCAACCGGGATACCTTGGTTGACCTATCTGGAAAGTCAAGCTGCATGGTGGACCATGGCTCCAGGTTTTGACCCATCCCCACTTAAAGGAAAGAAAGAACCTTCATGACTCAGGCAAGGACTAAAAGACGGAAAGTGAAGCAGCCATGGAGTGTCTTCGAATGAGAGTGCACCTGATTGACTGCTGAAAAAAACTGTAAACCAAAGTGAATATGTTGGAAAAATGCTCTTGCTACAAGAGAAGCTGTTGGATCACCCGGCCGATTGGCCCTGCTTGTAGCTCTTTGGGTCCTTCAGCAAGAACCTCAGATCCAGGGGCTGAGCTTCAGGACTATCTGACTATAATTGAATTTCTGTCAATGTTGGGACGATTCTGCAGTCTTGGCACTCAATCTCATGGTCTAAAGGTGGCTGAAGGTTCTCCTGCCAAATATATAGAACCACCACTGTTAACTGTCAACACATCTTTACATGGACAAGAATAGACCAAAATTACATCTGCAGAAATGCGATGCCGTTTGATGTAAAGCCAGGCTTGAACTCGCGACCCGAACCGATGCAACTGAGGACAACAAAGTCTAACTACACAGTTTGGCCTGCTTGAGGATGTTAGAACCTTTCACACCCTTTAGATCCGCTACTGCTTTGCTACTGTCCAGGATGTTCTGGCTGAAGAAGCTCCAAATTCTTCACACAGCCCGACTGTTAGTTAACCAGTCGCAATCGTAGGCAGAATGAAATACCCTTGACTCCGACTCCGATTCGTGCTCTCCTTCCGCCACAGCGACTGGCCAAGCACAGAATAAGTGAGACAAAAAGAATTAACTTTTGCAGTGCAGACTACTTAAGACTTAAGATCTTTAAATTGATCAAACCCAAGTAGCTCAAGAATAGTGCTTGAACCACTTGATTCTTGAGCATTGCAAAATATGTCTTGGGGCCGAAAGTGTGTCATGAGCCTCCGGAGAAGACTGCCGTAGGTCCTCAGAAAGGTCCAGCACAACAAGCAGTTCTATCGTCGGCTTTTCTATCGTCGCACTGACTTGAAGTTCACTGCCTTGCTTCTGAAGCTAGTAGAAACAAGTGCCACGCTACTAGGAACAAGTGCCTTAGTAGTAACAAGAAGCTATTAGAAACATCATTTCTGAGCTTTAGACCTCCATCTCTGGGCCTCGGCTGGAGATTGTAACGTTTGCAACAGAAAATTGCAATGAGGCCACCGCCAGGGCGACTGTCTGGCAGATCCTGAAAGTTAAACTACCGAATTTCAAATCAAGGCACTCATTCAAGCAGCGTGTCTTTGCCAGTTACATGGTGTGTTCACCGCTGATGTGGTAGATTATTGCTGCCCACGAGCATCATACAAGTTTTCCGAAGCATGGGAAACTGTGCTTGCTCACGGCATGTGAAATGAAATGTGTTCACAGTAGATTCACCAATGGTGCACTGGTAGGTTTTCACTCGTGGTGACTTCTTCTCGTTGGCTTCGTTCATACTGGGGAAGCGTTCTAGACTTGCATTTGGTGCAGTGGTACTCTTCTGCTGGTGCTGCTTTACTGGCGGTGCACGGCGCTGCACTGGAAGGTGTCCACCTTTTGCGAAGTGAAGCGTGCATGTTTTAGCCACTTGTGAAGTTGCAACTCACATCATGATGATAACGTTTCAGCACAAATGAACATGTTCTGTGTTGGTCAACGAAAGGAAACAAACCTCCTGACACCCTCCTGAAGAGCTAAGCGCAAAATGGCACATCAACCGCACACCCTCCCTACTCGGAGCCTCTATCCACTGATCAGCTAAAAATTATGGGTTAGGGCAGGGTCAGGGTTGTAATGATTATCCATCAAAATAGCTGTAATGAATCATATTGCAAACGACCATATGTTCAAGTGGGCAAGTGATGGATTGGCATGATCGAGGGCATCGCTTGGATTATCACTTGAGCATCGCTAGGGGGGTCTCTTCAACTTCCCAAGTTTGGACAACACAGGAGATGACTGATGCAAAGTGTTCACCCCTTACATCTAAAAACATCGATGTCAAGAGAACATGTGGAATTCCCATTCAAATCACGCGAAATATGTTAAAAAGAAAAAACAAACAAACAAAGAACGTCAAACAAATACACATGTGTGTCTTGTTTCATGATGTACAGCATCGCTTTTGGGGTGGCCTGATCGCTTCCAGAAGGCGGTGTTTTTTCCCGTGGCCCTGCCTCCTTACTTGATCAAGTAGTAGGCGCCTACTTAATTAAGGGAGGGAGTAAGCTACTAGGCTAAGTTAGCTTGTAGGAAGGACGCAGCCAATGCTAATGATGTGGTTCCTAGTTTTTTTGGGAAACTTAACTAGGCACAAAAGAGAATCTGAAGGTCCAGCTTAAGGTATGTAGAGCAGAAGGGGGACTCTGCTTGAGTGTTCCATCATTCCGATCCGTCTTACCAGACTCACCTTTGCAAAAGGTAAACTCAACGAAGCCCTTCAGAGAACGATGGTTTGACATGAAAAAATTTTCAAATTAACATGCTGAGGCTGCGGACCCACTGGAGCTTACAATCTGTGTGATTCTAGCAGTGGTCCTCATCACCATCATCATCCTCTTCCAGGTGCTTTACCTCTGCACTTGCCTGGCCAATCAAAAGAGCTGCAAACCCACCAGTAAGGTGATAAACTGATAAACCTTGCCGCGGTTCCTTCTCATCAAGATCAATTCCCTCCTTGGTATGCCCAACCACCAGTCATTGATGTGCTATTCAAAATTTCTACACTAAATCCAATGTAAAAGCATTGGACGATGAGATTGGATTCTGGAAATGTCCGCGTCTGTATTGTTGGGGCAGTCGCAGGGCCCAAGCGAGGCCGCTTCAAGGGCGGCGACCTCAAAGGAAACAATAAACACATTCCATTTATCAATGGACAAACGTGCTTGCAATCTATTTTTAAGCATGCCAACTGGTCGACCTGCATGTTTTCAATGAAGATTCAAAAAATTTGATCGCCGAATGGCTGACAAAAACGTGTGTGACTTCCTCGTTCCTGAGTGCACATCATCTCTTCCTTGCCATCAGCTTCACTGTCCATACTACTTGATTACCCAAGGGCAAAGTGTGTCAGTGTCTAGATTCCATCAGTTATTTGGTGCTGCAAAACAAAATATTCCAAACATGACCCTTTCTGTTTCTACTACTACGGTTTTGGCTCGCATTTTTCTGTTTGCACTGTTTTCGCTCCTGCAACTACGGTATCGCATAATCAACGTCTGCCAAAGGATGAAGTATCGTTGGGTTGATGATCGATGTCAACTTGACTCATATGACATGTTCTGAACCAAGAGATGCATTTGTCCAGAATTTTCAACAATCACTGATATAACAATTCCAAAACCACAATCCTAGGACAAGTAGACACGGAGGCGTGCAGTTGCTGCTTTAAAGCACAAGGCACTTTAAACAAAACCATTTTATGCACCTTTGGGAACGTCGGAGTTTCATCCTACCAACCAAAATCCACGATCGTTCCCGTCGATGTTCTGAGGTGTGACCACACCACAGCTGCTGCAAACAAACAAACAAACAAACAAACAAACAGTCAAACCTGCAAAGTTTGAGGATGCATCAGTGGACTCAGCAGCTGTGATCTTTTCTCAGTGACTTGAGCCTACTCGACACAATGTGTGATTTTGAGATTTCTTGAAATTAGTCACTACACTAGTCCCTTCAGTTCACTAAAGAAAGTGTTCAGTGCGTAGTTCAGTCTTCTGACACTTCCATCTTCACAGCGACGCTGTCAGTGATTCCACGCACAGTGATCTTGTATTTCTGCGCAGTCACCGTGGAGTGATCTTGGGCAGTGCGTTCAATGACCTCTTCATCACCCAAAGGTGCAGTGCCGTTCAGCTCATGGCGAAACCGTGACAGTTGGTTCAGGGTGAAGCTGAGTTGAATGGCAAGTCCTGATGACAGTTCAGACTCAGTGAGACCAAGTTTGTCAACATCTGTCCGGTGGCACAGCAACAAAGCTGAAGCGCAAAAGC